AATATGTGACAAGGTAGACAGAATAGAAACCCACAAGATTTATTAACAGCTCTTCCTCACTCACTGTGTCTTTGCAGGCAGGTCCCTGTTTTCACTCAGTGCCTTTCTCAACAGCAGCAAATGCGAAGTCTGCTCATGTCTTTAGGGAGTTGTGCCCATCGCCCATGAGAGCTGCCTCTGCCCCTGACCACAGGCTCAATTTCTGCACAGGCAGGCGCTGCAGGCACCAGCTCCACATGCTGCCCCCATGCCAGCCAAGCCCAAGCCCTGTGGTCTTCGGAAGTGTCACTCTCCTGAGCCTTTTCTTTCACCGCTCCAGAGGAGGAATGATTTCCAACAACATGAGTCCAACTGATCATGTTCGTAAAGTACATAATATATAAAAGACAACTCACAAAGACAAGAAAAAAAGAACTGATATGACATACCTCTCCCCCCCCCCCCCCATTACGATCATCCAGAATTACCCAGATTGGTAGTTGATAGTTTCATACAAGTTCTCAAAAGTGCTCCTTAAATCTCTGATAGGAGAGCAGTTTAAAAGAAAGCTTGATAGAAAGATCTTTCTTGCAAATCAACACAAGCATAAATTCACCATAATGATAGCTATCATTTAAAAAGCTGTGAAAGTTAAGTTGCTGCTTTCTCATTATACAGCGGATAAAAAGCTTGATTTTAATACACACAGTGTTGAGATCCACCAGATAGTGGTATTACCTGTGAAGAAAATAGCATTAGCTCCCCATCTGTCTGAGAATATCAGAGAAAACTGGTAGTAGTCCATGTTACTGAATTCACCTTGATGCTTCTGGTGCATATGTGATTACTTTGAAGCTCCGTTCGTGTTTATTTGGCTACCTTTCAGAGACAAAAACTCAAGTACCTTCTATCCTAATGTAAAATACTGTATAGATATAGCAGTGATGCACCTGTAAAAAGACTGATGTACAGACGATCTCTTGTAAAGTATTTCTCAACCCATTAGGAAGCTACTTGACATTACTATTTTAGTATGAGAAACAGCTCTTTCTGGCTTCCACGTTCTATTCATTTCAAAGGAAGCGATACTAGGGATAGATCAATAGAACCTAGGAGAGAATTCTCCTATGGTTTGTGTCTTCTTCCATGTTTCATTTATATCATATTGTCTTAAACATCTCTTTTTCTCTAAATCCTATGGGCTTCATTCCTGGACTTTTCCATAGTTGGCATTCTAAAATCATCTGCAATGAAACCGCTAACATTGATATTGTTCTTTAAAGATAACAACAGAATGAACTGGTAGTAGTGTCTGTGGAAGAGCAATACTGCCCCTATTTATGGGCAGTTAATATTTGAAAGGCTGTCAGACTTGAAGCTTAGAGATTTTATACTGCTCTGAGTCAAACAGTGTGCACGTAGCTGCTTAGATGTTTGACACCACTGGTAGATATATTGTAGGTGGTGCAAAATAATTGAAATATTATACATGGAAATACAGTCAGTAGATAGAAGGGTTTTTTTCTTTCAAAAAAAACTAATCAGCAAATAGTATCAGCAAGGAAGTCTACAAGGCGTAAATGATCTGTGAGAAGAGTCTAAGATCATGGTGCAGTATAGAAAAAAAAAATATAAGCAGTCCAAGAGCCATGACCTATTAATGAGGACTGGGATAAGATGCAACTAAACTGGAGCTATAATGAAGTAAAGGGGCAGCACATCGAGACAGATATTTCAAAGTGGTTTTTTTTTAATTTAAAAACTCCATAACTTTTTATTAGAAAAGCAGATACTGTTAATGATACTATCACATCTAGATAACCAATCTGTCTGTCAATAAATATTTGGAAAAAAAAAAAAAAAGCACTCAGCCAGCTATGAATGACAGTTAATAAGCTAGTTGATGTGATTAACAGACAGAACAAAACTTTCTGTACATGAGGATGGATACTGAAATTTTATTAATTTTCATATGTTAGACACATTTTAGAAAATCTCTTTTAGATAAGAGTGGTTCTTGGTTCATGACAAAAGAAAATACTGCTTTTGTGCTGAAACTGCTAGCAAATATTCTAGTTCTGAGATTAATATTCTGTGATAGGAGGAGCAGGAGGGGGCTGTCCCACCAGGGCAGGTGAGCTGGGAGCTGAGGGGACAGTGGGGCAGGCAGGGAGCACCGGCACAAGGCGAGTGGGGCTGGGACGGTGGCAGTGACCAGGAGCAGCCCCATCCCAGTGCAAATCCACAGGGACAAGGATGGGACAAGGTCGATTCAGAAGGGTGAGTCGGTGGGTGAGGATCAGCAAGGTGCATGGCCAGGCACAGATGTACCTATGGCATAGCTCAGGCAAGTGTCAGGGACGTGGACCTGAGCTCACATGCAGCTCCTGCAGAAGGTGGGGTGGCCCTGACCAGGCTTCTCACTGCTCTTTTTCACATGGGTCTGATCCAAGGCTGCACAGCTGTACCATCCCCAGCATGGCCTTGAAAACAGGCAGACAAATCTCTAGGACAGTGAGAAAGAAAATGTTTGCAGAGCCTGCTGCTGCCCAACAGCAGGCCAGTGTATTTTCATGTAGGCTACTGAGTGACCCAATGACAATTTTGTCTATGGGCACCAAATCACATATATTTCACTTGATCTTGGCCTCTTGCTTATTGGATTGTTCACCAGTGTTTGCTTGCCTGCAGCCCTTTGCAACACACCCTAGTAGAATGGCATTTATTTTAATAACCCTTTTGATGGAGATCTCCAGTGGGAATTGAGAATTCAGAAACTTCCCATGCTGTTTGCTGTCCATAGATACTGATGGGTTTCCAGAATTATGAACCAGACTGCATGAGTTTTCTCAATGAGCAGGTCAAAAAAAAAAAAAAAATCATGTTAAAATCAGGATTTATTAAACATAAAGATCAAATAATAATAAACAAAAGAAATAATTTGCTTAACGTGGCCCATCTGGAAATGTCAACATTGTTTTGAAGGTGCTTCGCTTTTCTTTGTTAGAGAAAGGAAACAAAAACACCTTATATCTTTCAAAAGTCATGTGTTCCCCGTGGGCCCTGTACATCTTCGTGTCTTCTCTGTATTTGATTTTTCTTCTTCACTTTATCAGGTCCTTTCTTTCAAGTGTCTGTTGTTTAAGCATACCTCATTTCAAATCAGCTCCTGAAATAAGCTTCCTACTAATCAGAGTTCCCAGGGTCCTGCAAAGTTTTTGCAGTCTGCTGGACAGGCTACTGTCTATCAAATCTAATATTTCAAGTAAGTCTGAACGATGATGAAAGAATAATTTCCCATGCTTTTTACATCTAAGCATTTCATTCTAAATTAGGATGAAACTAAATTCCAAAATGTCAAGTTCAACAACAAAACTGAACTCTAGAAGTGACCTGAAAGGCTATGATTCCCATTGTTAATTATGTGATTTCTGTTGTTTCTCTTTTGTGATTTAAGATAATGATTTCATTACATCATTTAAATATTTCCATTAATATTTTATATCCAACATCTGCAGTAGAAGGCCAAAGAGTAAACTGTCATATCCACGATGCAGTTTGCCTTCTTCACTGCTCTCTGGAAACCAAGAGCAAGATCATGACATTGCTGGCTTTCTGCATTTGAACAGACAGACTGACAAACACCACTGCGACTTTCAAATGCAGACTTTTAATTTTTTTCTCTGCTTTTAATTCAAATTGTATTTGGAATAAACTGTGAGAAATAAATTGGTTCAGGCAAGATATTAAGATCAGAATTCTCTCCTTTTTAAATTACTTTGTCACTCACTTAAAACTCAAGCTCAAAGCATTATGTTTCTGTCACACTTTCCTTGTTTCTCAGAAAGTAGGAATGTACATAAGCAGGCAGAAATAGGAGGCTGCCTTTCACAAGGCACAGTGTCACCCTTGCAGAGTCAGGAGATCCTTTGCAAAACACAAGGTTTCTAAACCTCTAAAGCTTCTTAACAGTTTACCAGTTCAGTGTATTATCAAGTTAGCAATAGTTAATGCTTCTATAGAAAGGGGATATGCGTATAATACTGTTGAAAATTGAGGCTATTGCATAATTTTTTCTACTTCATTCTACTTCTACCACCATTGCAAATTACTTTCAAATTCATAAAAACAGTATGGTGTAACAGGCTGCGCAGGTAGAGGCTTTATACATTTTTATCTTTAATGGCTAGCTTGAAAATCTTCACTTGTAATTGTGAAAGAGAAATTGCAGCTCTTTACTTCTTAGTAGCTTAACAAAAATCAGAAAAATAAGATGCCAGTGGTATTTTTTAGTTTGTTATGAAAACAAGATTTATTTGATTATGCTTTCTGTACTTGTGTTGCCACATAAATGCAAGTGGTTCACCTCTGTCTATGCCATTCTGTCAGTTCTATTCAAATACTATTTGGTTCGATTGTCCAAACTCAAGCAACTTTACAGACAGAGAGCAATCTAAAATATGTTAAATTCCCAGGAGTTCTATGAAAAATGTGACCAGATAGAAGAAGGAGACTTTTTTAAGCCTTCTTGGGGGCAGAAAATTATAGTGCAGCTTCAACCATTATAAACTGTCAGATAATCTAGGAGAGATAAATTAGGAATAATATAACCAAGGCAACACGTTTCATTTGCAGTGTGATACTAAAAGATCCATTCCTCTGCCTAATTTCTTCCCTTTCTATGAAATCTTAGGTGTAAATCTGACATATTTGTGCAGTCAGGATATTAATAATGTCTCTTTCACCCTTTTGCTTTCCCTCACTTATGGATTCTCTGATGTCTAGTAAGAATTGAACTCCAGCTACAGTCTTAGTATACTCTGGTTTAAAAGGCAAGCAGCCATAAGAAAAAGATCCATTGAAAACTAAGTTTTATTAGTGCTTTTGCTCACAAAATTGTTTTATGTTGTGTTAATCATTAAGAGAATGTTGTTCAGAGAATAAGGTAACTCTGACCCAAATAAAATACTACACATAACTGCTGTTCTGAAAGACGTTTAATACTCATTCCTATTTTTCAGATGAAGCAGATTGGTCACGATGGCTACAACCCCACCTCTGTAGCTGAATGGCTGGATTCCATTGAACTGGGTGACTATACCAAATCCTTTCTAATTAATGGCTATACATCGATGGACCTTGTGAAAAAAATCTGGGAGATTGAATTAATTAATGTAAGTTGATCAATTTATAGCAGTAGTTCTTCCTAAACACATTATAGTACTTGTCCTTACATATCAAAGCGAAAATACAAAAGCAAATTGCACTACAAACACTGTCGTCAGCTACTGTTAATGATTCTAGCTTTCATGCCTTTGACTGGGTTGACTGTACTCTTTGCTTCCATTTGCTTTGCCATTGTCTTTAGCATGGTATTCAATCAGTATGATTGTGTCTGCCTTCAGGATGCTGAATAACATTTAAAAATATATTTTGGTAGTTTATAGCTATGAAGCATAAGTCTTTCTTTTTAAAGTGCCTAGCAACCGTACTTCTTGTAAAGATACTTACAGTTTACTTTTTTCACATGCTCTGGCTAAATGAAATGTAAGATAAGAAACCTTAAATACAGTTAATTACGCTAAAGGAACAAAATATTTTATTTCATTAACACTTGTGCTTGAAACTTTATTTACATGAGTCAGATAAATTAGATGCCCACATATGGACAACCATAAACTTTAATGTGGACGGCACTGCAGAGTAATTTGGAATGAGATTAAGTTTGTACTGTTACAGTGAAGACATTGACAGTACAGCTTTGCCAGTGGAATGTTCATGTAAGTTATGTGTGTGAAACTGAGTTGTTTCCTTTTATAAAAGATAGATTATAGCTCTGAATCTTTTGTGGCTTTCAAAATCAACTGTATTGTCAGTTTATCTAAACTACAGGGCAATGCCTGCATGGAGAGAAGCCCAATATAAAATTTTATTGGCTCTTCACAGACAAAAGGCTGTGCTCTTCTTTCCAATATAGGAGATACTGCACCTCTGCCTCTAATTAGTGCCTAACTCCCAGAACAGTCAAAGGGCTACCAGTCACCATAGGCAATCAAGCATAAGATAAAGCAGCTGATATAGCTTTATACTGGGAAACAGTTCCCACTGTGTCCCAGGCTGGAGAAATGGAGAACATAATGATGGTGTGAAGCCATGTTTCAACATAGTAATTGGTGCATGAGGCATAAGCAGGTATAGCCCAAGACCAGCATCTAAAGAAAGAAAAGAAAGAAAAGAAAAAAAAGGTATTTCATATTAACTGAAAGACGAAACTATTGCATGTTAGAATTTTTTTTTTGCTGTTACATTACAGTTAATGTTAACTAGCACAAAAATGTAGAGTAAGAGTAAAGACCGAACTCTGCCTTACATGTCTGTTGCATTCAATGTGTGTGGTAGGTGTATAACTGAAGTCAGAATATGATTGATGCTGTTATGAGTATCTGCTGCTAAGCTATTTATAACTGTGATTATTTTTTTTATAAGTGGCTGGAATTTTAATAAGAACTGGGGACCCTTTGCTCCAGAATATAGATTAACAACCAGCACTGAGTTGAAAAAAATGGAAGTCTCTGCTCACATTATCTTCTGTAACTTAATTTACATCCCAAACATTTTGCCATAATCAATTTGGAAACAAATTACCCTTTAGCTCCCCCAAGTGGATCATTAAAACTTGCTTAAACTGATCAAAAGTGAAGTACCTGCACTGAAATTAACAGGAATACCCTTCTGTAAAATTAGCATAAACCAGACCAATATATATCCTTCTGATTTAAAAGCGTTGCATCATGCTCTTTTTGGAGGCCTGTACTTCTTGGGAAAACACTCCCTTTTGCCTTGAGTTGGAAGAAGAAGCTGTTAAACAGTTGTTTAAGTATTTGTATAGATATAGATACCTATATAGATAAATATTTCTGCCACCTGATATACTATTGGATTGTGGTGTTCAAGAGCATAGTAAACAAACCAGTTCTACATTCTCAGAATTTTTATTTTAGTCTAGTCAGTATATATTTAATTCCCACCAATCAGTAGTATCTAACTGTAATGATGTAATATTCACTGAGAAAATCTGTAGCTTAGAAAAGTATTTACTGTTATTTTTTTTCTGTTTGAATTGGGGGAAATCTGTCAGAAATGGACAAGAAATTGGTTTGAAGCATTGTGCGGTCTGGCAGAACAAGATACTTATCTCTGACCAGCAGGCCCTCTGTCTGAAATTGATTTCAAAGGTCTCACTTCCCATTCAGGCAATGGCAAACAAGAGCTTATTACAAAAAGTTTTTCATAAAGGAATGTGTAAAGGTCAAAGGCACTGACTCTGGAATAGGACTCCTGACCTGAGTAGGTCAAATCCAGGCACTTGAAAAATAAGAGAAAATTCAGACTCAACATCCTGAAAAGAATTCAGAGTACCTTTGGTTTGGTGGCTCTTGGTGCTTAAGTTTTAGATGGAGCAAGAAGTTTCATTTGCACTTATGCCAAATACAATAAAAGGTATCAAGGGCTACAGATATGCTAACTTTTTAATTTTATCCATCAGTTTAAACAGTTGCAGCCACTGAATTTGATATAAAAGCCATTCCTGCTTTGGTGCAAGAAATTCCTTAGTTCATATTTGGTGCTTCTTTCCATTATGTCATTGGGAAATCATCCATGGCTTCTAGAGGGGTAGGAACAGATTTGAAGGTATAGATAATATCTACTATTAGGTAGGCTAGCATAGCTGAAAGAACAGAGAGAAGGGACATTTAATTTTTCACAAGCCCTTCTTTACGTCTTAAAAAATGAAAATTCTTTATTGTCTTCTTTCTACACTTTTTTTGATCATCAACTCACGTGCCTGTGGATGAAGTTCATGACTTTTTAGATTTTTTTTTTCCTAGATCTAAACTAGAATTAAGGTCATCTTTTATCATAATGTCTCTCAATATACTATTGTGAGTTTTAGTTATCATATGCCTCTGAACTTCCATGTGTGTTGCTGACCAAGATACTTTCCCTCTACTTTGGAGCATAAATCTATTCAATTAAGTTATTAAAGCAAATAGCTCATTTTTTGAAGGACAGGAAGAAGAAAGCATATAATGAAAGTCTCCCCGCAGCTGAATGAAGCTAACCTCCCCTAAATTCCCTTTATAAACTATAAAGGATGGCAAAAGAAAGGATCATCCAGAGGATGATTCAAGGTGGTTATACTATGGTTAATTATCTGGATTGCTTCCTACGGTGTTTATCTCTCCCCACTGATATACAGAGATGCTAAGAAGAATAGCTTTATAGTGTTGATCTGCTTGAGGGTAGGAGGGTTCTACAGAGAGATCTGGACAGACTGGATCAATGGGCCGAGGCCAATGGTATGACATTCAACAAGGCTGAGTTCTGGGTCCTGCACTTGGGTCACAACGACCCCATACAATGCTCCAGGCTTGGGGAAGAGTGGCTGAAAAGCTTCTGGCAGAGGAGGACCTGGGGTTGTTGGTCAACAGCCGGCTGAATATAAGCCACCAGTATGCCCAGGTGGCCAAGAAGGCCAATAGTCCCCTGACTTGTATCAGAAATAGTGTGGCCAGCAGGACTATGGAAGTGATTGTCCCCCTGTACTCAGCACTGGTGAGGCTGCACCTCAAATACTCTGTTAAATTTTGCACCCCTCACTACAAGAGAGACATTGAGGTGCTGGAGTGTGTCCAAAGAAGGGCAACAAAGCTGGTGAAATGTCAGAAGAACAAGTCATGAGGAGCAGCTGAGGGAATGGGGATGTTTAGCCTGGAGAAAAGGAGGCTGAGGGGAGACCTTATCACTCTCTACAGCTATCTGGAAGGAGGTTTTAGCCAGGTGGGTGTCAGTCTTTTTTCTCAAGTAACAATTGATAGGACGAGATGAAATGGCCTCAAGTTGCGCCAGAGGAGGTTTAAGTTGGATGTTAGGAAAAAATTCTTCACTGAAAGGGTTATCAAGCACTGGAGCATGCTTCCCAGTGAAGTGGTTGCCTCACCATCCCTGGAGGTATTTAAAAGACATGTAGATGTGGCACTTAGGGAATGTGGTTTAGTGGAATTTAGCAGTGTTAGGTTTATGGTTGGACTAGATGATCTTAAAGGTCTTTTCCAACCTAAATGATTCTATGATTAAAATTAACCTTTGTGAGTCACCCCTTACTCCCATAGGATGCTGGAATGATCAGAGCTTTGAATCTTCTTATCTTCCTAAAAAGAACAGTTCTTACTCTTTTTCAAACACTGTTTTACCATCCTTGGAAGTTACCATCTAGGCAAGCACATTTAAAAAAGGAGAGAGGAGAATGCCAAGTATATGAGAGAGGGAGGAGCTCTGAGACACTGGTGGTAAAGGCTGTCTTCCCTCAGCTTCTCTGGTCCTCTAGGTACATCGTTGGCATTAAGAAACAAATTTAATATGCAACTTCCTGAAATTTATTGCAAATTACTCCAGCAAAGTAATGTCTGCTCTAACTTACATGATAGTTTCTTCAAACTTTGATGTATAAGTATATAGTGTGCGTGTTTCTTCAAACATAATCAAGCAGCAATTACTTAAAGCATTTGAATCACCTGAGTAATTTTAAAATAAGTTATTTATTTGTGTTTCTCGCGGGCTCCCACCAGCATTGTCTGTCATTTTTCAACATGCCAGACTGAAATTTAGATTTTGTTTCACTAATTCATTTGTCACTTAGATCAAAAATTTTCCCAAATCCATTTGTTTCATTATTTTCTCAGGTATGGTCTTCCTGGGAAGCATTGTTCTAATTCCCTTATCCTAGGATTGTAAGTATTTAGAAACATTGTCTTTCCCAACACTTCTGGTTTTGTCTCCCAGGTTTCTTGGCTCATTAGAGAGGTCAGATTCTGTACCCAGATTCAGATATCATCTATTCAGTGCTGTAGCTATGTGGAACTTTTCTGAAATATATACAGTCTGCTGAAAAAAATCAACTATGTTCTGAAATACCCTAACCCATCTAAAGTATGCACCTGTGCTTTAAAGTATAAATGCTATTCTGCATGACTAATCATATTATTCTTGTCTGTTATTCTGGATTACTTACGTAACCCTCCCCCTCGGGGAGTCACTCTCTTCAAGGAACTTTTACCAAAGAGATTCTTCAGGCAAGATATAAACAGCTTAAAAGTACAAAGCAAGCTATTTA